ACCCAGTGACCCAGGTTCGGAGGGAGACCTGTACCCTCCCCTGCAGCCAGGAGAACCCTGGAAGACATGGTCTGCCCATCACCGGATGAGCACACCCGATTGGCTAAGCACAGGCAACCTCATGGCCAATGGACACTGCCACTTCCCTAGGGCCAGCCTGGGGCTCCAGCAAGATGCTGATGGCCGCTGCCGCTGCACGGGCCCAAGGCTCAGGCAATGAGGCCCAGGTGAGGCTCAGGCAAGTCGCAGTAGCTGCGATGGCCGAGGCTCAGGCAGCCTTGCGGCTGGAGTGGCAGCAGCAGAGGCATGATGAGGGCATCGCCTTCCCCTGATCGCTGGGTTGCCTCCTGCAGAGGGAGGCCAGACGCAGCAGCAGCAAGGGGGTGATGGGAGCGGTGCTTTCCCCTGATCGGCTGGTAGCCTCCCACAGAGGCAACATCCCCTGAGGGCTCCCGGACTATGAGAAGGGGCAGGTGAGGCTGAGGGACGCCCCCCCCGCCCCACTCCCAGTGCACAAATTTGGTGCAGAGGGCCTCTAATATGCAAATTGTTTGGGACAACCTCACTGATAAGCAGGCTGTGTCCCCGCTCCCTATACCAGCCCAGAGGCATGAGGCTTGCATCCCTGCCCCTGGCAACAGGCCCAGGATGTGAGGCTTATGTCCCCACCCGCTGTGCCAGCCCAGGGACTTGAGGCTTGTGTCCCCAACCCCGGCAATGGGTCTAGGGATGTGAGGCTTGCATCCCTGCCCCCCTGTGCTGGCCCGGAGGTCCACAGGCACGTGGAGAGGCCCCTCCGCTGCGGGCTTGGCCAGGGGTCCACAGGTGTGCGGAGGTCCACAGGCCTCCGCCGTGGCCCAGCTTGGGTTCTCTCTCTCTCTCTCTCTCTCTGTCTCTCTCTCTCTCAAATTAATACATTTTTTAAAATTAAAAAAGAAAGCTTATCTATCCCTAGCTGGTTTGCTTCAGTGGATAGAGTGTTGGCCTGTGGACTGAAGGGTCCTGGGTTCGATTCCAATCAAGGGCACGTACCTTTTTGCAGGCTCCTCCCCGACCAGGGCCCTGGTCAGGGCTCGTGCAGGAGGCAACCAATCAATGTGTTTCTCTCACATCGATGTTTCTCTCTGTCTTTCCCTCTCTTTTCCATT